TGGATTCAAGGTTCATGATCTCATGTGTATGGATGATTTCATGATGTTTAGATGTACTTTAGAGTGTTGGAATTGACTAGGAAACATAGGTACATCACTTAGAAACTAGTATGAAAAGATGGAGGAAGAATGGGGTGAACTGGCGTCCTTGGCGCTCTGAGAGGCGTGGGGCGCCAGAGCACAAACTTCAGAGGTGAAGTTGTGGAGCTCTGGCTGGCGCGTCGCCCCAGAGGCCAAACTTCAAACTCTGAAGTGGGGTGCTCTAAGAGGCGCGGCGCCCCAACCTCTTGCCAAGCAAACTCCGACTTTTCTCCTTCGTTTTTCATCTCTAAACCCTCTAAACTTCTATGGTTCTTTCCCCAAACACTTAGGATCATTAGTACCCTCAATACCCAATAGATTTAACTCAAAAATCAACCCAGAAACACGAATCAAATCAACACTAGGCAATCAGCAATCAACCAACAAGAATTCAACAATGTTCTTCAAGAACCTTAACATGTAAACAACTCAAAATCGTTGAATTGAAACAAATTGGTGTGTGGATGAACTAACCCAACACGAAAAGATCTCACATACCTTAATAGGGATCACCCCCAACGAATTCCACTCCAAACGCTTGACGTTCTTGGCGAAATCTTGGTTTTTCTCCCTTTCTTTCTTATTTTCTCTTTTCTCCAAGTCCCTAAGCGTATTCTAATTTTTCCAAAATTGAATTAAGTTCTGTTTTTACCCCAATAAACCCCTAAAAATAAATTAGGAAATTAATTAGAGAAAAGACTAGTTTGCCCTTCCTTAAAATCCGGATTTGGACTTTCCTCAATCCAACAACCCAATTTCCAAAAGGGATAACTCACTCATACGTTGGCGAAATCGTGCAAACTTGGCGGCGTTGGAAAGATCTCTCCAAGGGCTTTCAAACCATATCAAGATCTTCTCCTAACTCATTCTGATCTAGGAGTTATGGCCATTTGAAAATGGCCAAAACTCACTTTCTTAACTTAGACAAAATTTCCAGATTTCCTTATTCTTTCCAAAAATCAATATTTTCATATTTTAAACTCTTTATAGTCGTTTCTAGGTGCGAGATGTTACATTTCTCCTCTTCAATCCTTTTTTTGCGTTTGAATGTATTTATATTAATTAAAAAAAGTTTATACAAAGGAATCAAATAGAGATATTTTAATTATTCAAAAAATAAATATCTCCTATCAAATATCATATAGATCAACATTAAGATTTATAAATGATTGAAAGATCAAAGTACTGTTATGCCTTTTTATATTAATTCTTGTCTATTTAGGATGGAGTGCTTGAAATTATATTAAAAAGAAAAATGAAAGGCCTAGAAAGCAACTTGACTACAATTACTTGAAAGTGGAAAAATTAACAGCAAACAGACCTAAATAAATAAATAAATCCTAGACTTTCGATAGAGTATGGAAGAAATTCAATTAGAAAAAGTATATCCAATAGATATCCTCTAAAAATTGATCTAGCATTTTACAAGCTAATTTCCATGTTTCTTCTGTTGCTCCTAGCCTGTGGAGCTCTATGCAGTTTTCATAGAAATAACATTCTATGATACAAAATTAACAACCTGCTGTCAATTAGACAACGGATCAGAATATATATATATATATATCTAATAAGTGGGAATATCTACTACTTAGCATATGATAAGTGTTGGATGATATGTGCTTGATAGTGTTGTACATTCTTCTTTTATGGTTGTACCTTCAAAATTTATATTATTGGACAATTTAACACCATTAATTACATACTACTTTATTAGCCAAAAAGTTTGACCTCATTTGGGCCCATTTATTATTTATATATTTTCAATTTTCAATATATATTGCCTATCTAATTCTTTTTTTCAACCTTTTATTTTTAAAACTTTCTTGAAATTTAATTACCTATTTATTACACTCTCTATGCACTTTTAATTGTTATGATTTCCTTTTTAGAGTCAAACTATAAGAATTTTTAACTAATATTTTTACAATGTGTTTTTTCATCATAATTTCATAGGCAAAAAATTTTACAATTTATAGTACTTTTTGTATATTGCATATTTAATTATTTTTAAAAAAAATATCGAATTAATACAATCTGATTTAACTTTGAAAATTAGTCAAATGGACTTTCAAAAAGCGCAACATGACAAATAGAAGTGAACGGAGAGAGTATATTAGAGGTACAACTTTTTTAAAAA